ATACGCCAGAAGCTTACAAGCCACCAGGCCGAGAGTCCGCTGGGACCAGACGGATGGAGACCAAGGAGGCAGTAGATGGATGATCAGGAGTGGAGGAGATGTTGAAGGTGACCAGAGAGGAGTTGAAAGTTGGGCACCGAGTGAGTGAACGGAACTTTGTCAGACTTACACGGTAACAAGAACACAGGAAACAGTTTTCACCAAAATACCTCAAGAGACGTAAAACAAAAAATGTATATCTAGATATTATTCAACAGTAAAGACTCCACAGTGTGTTAAAGTGATAACATTTAAAACAAAATAATTAAAAAATAAACGGCAGGATCTCTGCAGACACAGACACCAGGGTATTCCTTGTTCTTTAGGATGTTCCTGCATATAATAACTTTCATTAATATTCAAGTTACTTGGGGAACTACCCTTCGGAAAGGAAAACTGACAGCCAATTAATATAGTTGAATAAAATATATCCAAATATCAATTTGTTAAATGTTAATACTGATTAAAATGATGATTACAAAAAAAAAAAGACCATATCACTAGCTTAACAAGGTTGAAGGATTCTGGAGTCATCAATAGTAGAGGTTGGCAGCATTCACTCTTGTACAACATTAATAACAGACCAACATTTATATTAAAAAGTATTTATTAAAAAATATTCTAATGATAAACACACAAATATTCTTTCAACAAATTATCTAGACTGAAAAAAGGAAGTGTGTGTGTGTGTGTGTTTTTATTCTGATTTGGAATGGTAAGAATGGTAAATTGCATCCAAGCTCCTGCGTCTGTGTGAATTTTTGCTGAAAACAACTTAACGGTGTGGTGAGAGGCTACTCAAATATCTGACTTAAAAGAGATCACAACAATAAAGCTAAGTGAACAACATTAAACATTGAACACAACCAATACATATAGATAAACAAAAATATATTTTTAGACATTGACTGTAATGGTGTGCTTGAGATGCAGATGATTTACTCTGATTAGTCTTGCTGACCACAAACATCCTCTTTCAGTATCATAACAGTTATAATTATATGGAAGAATTCACGAGAATTGTGGGTAAAAATAAGCTGTGTATCAGCTGATATCTTTAGACTAAATTACACTAGTAATGGTGGGGTTATTTCTGTGAATTATTTTAACATCACAAAGGTTCTGCAATAGATAAGTGACTTCCTCAGTCCCTCGTTTTTAAGCCAATATGTTCGCACAACAGGTACATTTGTCATATCTGGCATAAGCGTCTTTGGGTCTAGAAAAGCGCTATATAAATCCCATTTATTATTATTATTATTATTATTTCCAATCATACTATATCAAATAATTACACTTTATTTAACAGCAAGCTTCTGCATTTACAACATAATCAATATGTACTTTCTTGGCACACAGTGCACATGTTTTTAGAAGCAAACGCATAAAGAAGTGGATTAAGGCTGCTGATAACAAACACCAATGCTGAAACAGTGTACCAGCTGTCCATGCAAAACTTCAAAACTCTTTCATTTTTGAGTGAAATTGCTGCCACACCAAGCACATTTGTGATATGATATGGCATCCATAGAACAAAAAAGGTCAAAATTATACTTGTGACCAGCCGGGTGGTCTGTGGGTTGTTGAAGAAAGCTGCTTGGTTCACTTTTCTGTGGAGGCCCATGTATGAAAATACCATGACAGAAATTGAAACAAATCCAGTCAGGGTCTCTGTCAGCATCACAGCCACCTCCTGGGACTGGGAAGAGTACTGGAAGTGGCAGTCTGTCCCATGCTGGTCTTTGATCACATGTCGAACCACTAAAGCAGGGATAGACAGGATCATGGTAACCAGCCAGAGCAGAACCAGAAGCCTCCTCTTTCCAACCCGGTCGAAGATTTTCTGCAGGTGCACCACCTGTAGGTAGCGCTGGACACTCAGCACTGTCACTGTCAGGAGGCTAGAATAGAGGCTGCAGTACATGAAATATGCCAGAAGCTTACAAGCCACCAGGCCGAGAGTCCAGCCTTTCACAAAAGTGTAAATCCACAGAGGCAGGGGTAGCAGGCAGATCAGGTCTGATATGGCCAAATTCAGCATCAGACTCTGGCTCAGACTGGACAGGTGCTGCCAGTTTGGCTTGAGGATGATCACAGC